ATATATGTGTGTGTGTGTGTATATATGTGTATATATATATACACATATATATACACACACACACACACACACGAATCCCTCTTGCTTTATTAAGGTGGGAGACATACATCCAATATGTATATCCAATTACATCCAATTACTTTCCATTCTGTTCCATAGTAATGCTTTCAATTACTGCCCCAAATTAGCAGCTTTCAGAAACTTCATTTCCTACAGAAATGAAACAACGAACATACACGCAGAAGACAATCCTGACATACTCGAATGTACTGGCAAGCAGCTATTGCAAGATCCTATTTTATGTACCCAACGATCGGGGTGAATTGTTTGTCGTTGTTGTTGTTGTTTTTGGTCTTCAAGTGGAGAACTTCAAATGTTGCTGAGAAGTGCGAAGTCCTCCGTTCTTGTTTTTTGGTTAAAAGAATTTTTTTTTTTTTTTTTTTTTGAGACGGAGTCTCGCTCTGTCATCCAGGCTGCAGTGCAGTGGCCGGATCTCAGCTCACTGCAAGCTCCGCCTCCCGGGTTCCCGCCATTCTCCTGCCTCAGCCTCCCGAGTAGCTGGGACTACAGGCGCCCGCCACCTCGCCCGGCTAGTTTTTTGTATTTTTTAGTAGAGACGGGGTTTCACCGTGTTAGCCAGGATGGTCTCGATCTCCTGACGTCGTGATCCACCCGTCTCGGCCTCCCAAAGTGCTGGGATTACAGGCTTGAGCCACCGCGCCCGGCCTGGTTAAAAGAATTTAAGCAAGAGGCAAGCAACAACGAAGATACCATCTTAAGACAGTTTATTGCAAAAACGAAAATACACTGAAAGCTAAGTCAGAGCAGGCTGCTTGAAGGTGAGACAGCGCCAGCTGGCACTGGGGATACCCCCTTTTTGGGATTCTTTTTTAATTTTACTTTTATTTAAATTATTTATTTATTTATTTATTTTGAGACAGAATCCGGCTCTGGAGTGCAGTGGCGCGATCTCGGCTCACTGTAACCTCCGCCTGCCAGGCTCAAGTAATTCTCCTGCCGCAGCCTCCCGAGTAGCTGAGACTACTGGCAAGCGCCACTACACCCGGCTAATTTTTGTATTTTTAATACAGACGGGGTTTCACCATGTTGGCCAGACTAGTCTCCAAATCCTGGCCTCGTGATCCTTCCGCCTCGGCCTCCCAAAGTGCTGGGATTACAGGAGTGAGCCACCGCGCCTGGCCGGGAGTCTTATATGTTTATTCAAAAAGTGGCAGGCAGGAGGAGGTGTTACTAGTAAGCATGTTTTGGGTGATCCTCTGGGTGCACATGCGCTGTGGCTATACATGCTAGTACATACATTGCATGTCTCATTAACATCTTAAATCTCCCTCCAGGGGTGTGTTTCTTACTATTATAATGAGCAAAAGGTTACTTCTGGAGCAAGCAAAACTGGAGCGAACCGTACTCCGCTTGCCTCCATGGCATGGAAAGTCCCTTGTGGAGTTGTTAGTTCCTGCTTGAGCCAGATAAGTTCAACTGCAAGAAGGGTCCAAGGACTCTTGAAGTCTCAGATGCGGATGACGTGTCCCAACTGTCATGGCCCTCTTCCTAGGTGTGCCAGATATGTAGGCCAACCTGGAGCCCACCTCCCTGTTCATATTTAACTTGTTTATTGTTATTATTTTGAGACAGAGTGTCGCTCTGTCGTTGAGGCGGTAGGGCAGTGGTGCGATCTCGGCTCACTGCAACCTCCGCCTCGAAGGTTCAAGTGATTCTCTTGCCTCGGCCTCTCGAGTAGCTGAGATTACAGGCTGCGACAACCACGCCCAGCTAAAACCCGACAGGGTTTCACCATGTTGAGCAGCCTGGTCTCGAGTGATCCGCTCGCCTAGGAATCCAAAGTGCTGTATTACAGGCGTGAGCCGCCGCGCCCGGCCAAACCCAGCATTGTTTTAAAGGCAAAGTGCAATAGTAGCAAACATAAGCCTCTTGAATCAGATATATGTGTTTAAATTCAAACTCCATCACTTCCGAAAGTAAAATGTATGGTGTTTTATTTTATTTAGATCATTTGTGAAACTTTTCTTCATCTGCAAATGTAGGGAAAATTCTTAAAATTCTTTGGGTATTGTAAGGGCGCAGTGGCTCACGCCTGTAATTCCAGCACTTTGGGAGGCCGAGGCGGGAGAATTACCTGAGGTTAGGAGTTCGAGACCAGCTTAGTCAAGGTGGTGAAACCTTGTCTCCACAAAATTACAAAAATTAACCAGGCATGGTGGCGTGCGCCTGTAATCTCAGCTAGTCTACTTGGGAGGCTGAGGCAGGAGAATCACATCCGGGAGGCAGAGGCAACAGTGAGCCGAGATAGCACCATTGCACTCCAGCCTGGGCTACAGGGCAAGACTACGTCTCAAAAAAAAATTTTTTTTGTTTTAAATCCTTTGGGGCCTGGGCGCGGTGGCTAACGCCTGTAATCCCAGCACTTTGGGGGGCCGAGGCGGGCGAATCACGAGGTAAGGAGATCGAGACCACGGTGAAACCCCGTCTCTACCAAAAAAAAAAAAAAAAAAAAAAAAAATTAGCCAGGCGCGGTGGCGGGCGCCTATAGTCCTAGCTACTCGGAAGGCTGAGGCAGGAGAATGGCGTGAATCCCGGAGGCGGAGTTTGCAGTAAGCCGAGATAGCACCACTGCACTCTAGCCTGGGCTACAGAGCGAGACTCCGTTAAAAAAAAAAAAAAAAATTCCTTTAGGGATTAAAAATAATTTACGTAAATACTTTCCCTAGCAAACCATGTCTCTTGAGCAGTTGCTCAAGAGAGCATTCAGCTTCGTATTTCTATTTGCTGCCTCTGGCATTTTTACCGATTTGCAACAACTCAAATTCTCTGCTGTATCGCCATTTCTGGACCAAGGAGTCCTACCTTCCAAACACTTTAGAAAATGTGCTCGGAGTCCCTTTTTCTCTGACAATTAAAATATTTCAAACTTATACCTCACACCCCATCATGTGCTCGTCATCCAGCACTTGACATCCCCGTCAGGACTTCTTTCTTCCTCTTTTGAACCCCCAAAATGTTCTGGTGTTATCAGCCACAAGAAAAACCGAAAACCTGACTTTCATACAAATATAACATGAATGTAGTGTTTAAGATTTCATATATCTCGCTAATTACTAAGTAAATTGGGAAAACCCCTTAAAAGATGAATTTGAAGAACAAACAACATACAATAGAAAGGCTGAAAATTGTATCACAACTGAGTAAAATCTTAGGGTTAATGTAGACATGAATCACTTGAATTATTATCACTTTTCTATAACTTAACTTCTACCATCACAGAGCTTAGCCTAGTGAATAGAAAGTCAAAGGTGCATAGCTCTAAAAAAATTAGATACTTGCTAGAGGGTCTGCCAGACAACGCCAAGCACATCACTGAAAGGAAGGACCCAGTAATTTTTGTTGTCGATTTTTAAGTCTGACAATTCTTTCTGACACATATGACACCTTATAAAAGTTGCTTCGAAGTAAACATGGGAGAGTGTTAAAGGAGATGGAGTCTTGTTGTTTGTTTGTTTGTTTTGAGGTTATTTAGTTCTGACCTTAGTCTTCAGTTTGTCCATTTATACAACTGGGTGTGTATATATTTAATTTTAACGTTGTGGTCAGGCGGAACATTTAAAAATCTTTTATGTTTTCCTTGGTTTACATTCTTTCTAATGGACCCTTTATATTTCCAACATGAATAAAAATGAATGTATTATTTTACTTTTGTTCTGAATCTTTCTTCTGTATCTCCCTACTTGGTTATTTTTACTTAAAATATCAGATGTATTATGTGGTGTGAAGGGACTCCAAAATCAGCAAGGTCCGAATAAAGAATTTCTTTTCTTTTTTTTTTGTTTTGTTTTGTTTTTTGAGACGGAGTCTTGCTCTGTCGCCCGGGCTGGAATGCAGTGGTGCCATCTCGGCTCACGGCAAGCTCCACCTCCCGGATTCCACGCCATTCTCCTGCCTCAGCCTCCCAAGTAGCTGGGACTACAGGTGTCCGCCACCACGCCTGGGTATTTTTTTTTTTTGTATTTTTAGTAGCGAGGGGTTTCACCGTGTTAGCCAAGGTGGTCTCCATCTCCCAACATCGTGATCCGCCCGTCTCCGCACCCGGCCCCGAATAAGGTATTTCTTAGGCTCAATACAATGTGCCAGTCAGTTGAGATGGTCAAAATCTAGCAGACCAGAGATATTCTCAAGGTTATTAAAGACCCCAGAATTTGATTCAAGTAACTAACTCCATATTAATCTCTTCGGGGAAATTTTTGAAGCTTTCACTTGTAAAGATGTCTTTTAGGATAGAGAGCAGTAACAACATATTTTCTACAAACTCTATCAATGTACTTGAAAGAAGTCATTTTAAGAGCTCCTGAAGAGACCCTTTATACCATAAAAATGGTAGTTTGTGATGACACCTGTCTGCGCAAAAGTCACATAATTGTCTTGTAAGCTAGGGGTCAATGGAATAAAATATCTGATGCCCACTGGCACCCAAATCCTATGACATCAGTTTGTCTAGTGGGGGTAGAAGCCTACAAAAATTGGTACAGTTAGCCCTCCATGTCTGTGGGTTTTACATCTGTTGATTAAACCAATAGTGGATCAAAAAAAATATATTTTTAAAAAAGGAAGGTTGCATCTATACTAAACATTACAGATTCTTATATTCTTGTCATTTTCCCTAATCAATACAGTTTAACAATTATTTACATAGCATGTACCTTGTATTTTTAGGTATTATAAGTAATCTAGAGATAATTTAATGTATACAGGAGGATGTGCATAGGTCATATGCAAATACTACCCCATTTTACATAAGGAACTTGAGCGTGCATGGATTCTGGTATCCGTGGGAGATCCTAAATCAATCTCCCACAGATACCAAGGTACGACTCTATTTTTAAAGATCCTGAAGTGTGATTCTAATGTGCAAAGTTTGAGAACCACTGTTCTAGGCCATTTCCGTATCATTGGTTACTCTATTTAAAAAAAAAAAAGTGGAATGCTTCACAAATTTGTATGTCATCCTGCACAGGGGCCATGCTAATCTTCTCTGTATAGTTCCAATTTTTGTATATGTGCTGTCAAAGTGAACACAACTCTAATTGTTGCTTGCTTACATACAGTTTTTCACTATATATAAACAATCAAAGTCAATTTTTATAGTGTAAAGAAAACCCCTTATCATATAGTATAAGTCATATTTAACGCTACCCTCAAACAACGATTAAAGTAACCGTGTTTCTTCCCTAACATCAAGAATGCCAAAATGGGACGGGTGCAGTGGCTCACTCTTGTAATCCCAGCACTTTGGGAGGCAGAGATGGGCAGGTCACCTGAGGTCAGAAGTTTGAGACCAGTCTGGCCAACATGGTGAAACCCCGTCTCCACCAAAAATATTTTAAAAATTAGCCGGGCGTGGTGGCGGGTGCCTGTGATCCCAGCTACTCAGGAGGCTGAGGCAGGAGAATCGCATGAAACCGGGAGGCAGAGGTTGCAGTGAGCCAAGATCACGCCATTGCACTCCAGCCTGGGTGACAGAGCCAGACTCTGTCTCAAAATAAAAATAAAAATATATTTTAAAAAAGGAATACCAAAATGTACAATGAAGATAGTATTTTAAATCTCGCCCTGGCACTGTGGCTCACGCCTGTAATCCCAGCATTTTGGGAAGCCGAGGTGGGCAGATCACCTGAGGTCAGGAGTTCGAGACCAGCCTGGCCAATATGGTGAAACCCCATCTCTATTAAAAATACAAAAATTAGCTGGGCGTGGTGGTAGGCGCCTGTAATCCCAGCTACTCAGGAGGCTGAGGCAGGAGAATCGCTTGAACCGGGGAGGAAGAGGTTGAAGTGAGCCGAGATCGCACCAATGCACTCCAGCCTGGGCAATAAGAGCAAAACTCCGTCTCAAAAACAGATAAGCAAAAAAAGCAAAAACAACAACAGCACCAAAACTTATAAAAATGTGAATATTTTGATTGGCATCTTTCATAGCTCATATTTATTAAATTATGTGTTATTTATATATAAAAAGCAAAACACATGGTGTTGGTGTTAAGGAAAACATTATTTATGGCAATTGTTAAAGATAGTAAGGAAAACTTTATTATAAGGGGATTTTGCAGTAGGTGAGAGAGACTGGACTCAACTTTGCATACAACAATGAAAAGTGGGAATTTATAGCCAAGGATCAGGGTGGGGAGATGAGGTCTGTGGATGGAAAATTACTGAAAGGAAACATCACAGGTAAGGGGGTTTCTGGCTAACCTGGCCTGATAGAATTCTTGAAGGCAGGCCAAGGAGATGATATCACTGGAGCATGGTGGAGAATGAGGATCCTGATCAGATATGAATGATGATCAGATAATAGAGGATGAGGGATTCTGGCTAAACTGACTTAGCACAATTATTGTTAAAAGTGGGCAATGCAGAGCTACAAACATGTAAGTTCAAAAGTCGGGGCCTTAGTTGAGAAGAGCCTTCAGAAGAACCTGACTAGAGTTTGGTCATGAAGAAATCTTTGTCACTGCTCAAAAAATGTCTGATAAGTAATTAAATTATTAGAGGTTATTTGATATATTATCTAAATGTGTTAGTAATTTAAACGGTTTGGCATCTTTTCTGACTTGAATTTTATAAAATTTAGATAATGTAAAAATAGAAACTTACAGCAATGTTAAGCATTGGGGTTTCAAAATGAAGCCTCCAAATTCTTACCTTGAGGACTCCAAGCTCCACCTTTATTTTTATTTTTATTTTTCTGGAGTCTCGCTCTGTCGCCCAGCCTGGAGTGCAGTAGCACGACTTGGCACACGGCAACCTCCGCCTCCCGGTTTCAAGCAATTCTCCTGCCTCAGCCTGCCGAGTAGCTGAGATTACAGGCATGCGTCAGCACGCCTGGCTAACTTTTTTGTGTTTTTAGTAGAGACGAGGTTCACCATATTGGTCAGGCTGGTCTCGAACTCCTGACCTCGCGATCCATCCGCCTCAACCTCCCACAGTGCTGGGATTATAGACGTGAGCCACCGTGCCCGGCCACCAGGGTCTGATTTTTCAAGTGTGAAAACAAGATAGTAAAGAAGCCTGAGGGGAGCCCAGCAAAGAGAACCAAACATCGCTGAAATTTGGGAAGCAGGACCAGCTATATAATTTGTAGGGCCCAGTGAAAAATTAAAATGAGGGAGCCCTGGTTCAAAAAGCAGGGAGACAATGCTGTTGTAATTATTAATATATACTGATATGGGTGTGAGCTACAGGCTCACTGCCACCAAGACGCCCTCCCAACTCACCTGGGCACTGCCAGGCTGCCAGCCAGTGTCAGGAATGACAGCCATTATGCCACACCCCAGAAACCCCGGGATTAGGCTGCAGGAACTTAATTCCTCTTCTGTAGACCCCCTAGGGGGCTTTACTGCTGGAGGCAGGTGGGGAAGAGGGGTCGGGAAAGAGAGTGGGGAAGGATGCCGGTTAGCAGGGCTAATTCGCTGCTGAAAACCCATCGAGGGGAGGCAGAGCTCTTGGGAGCCAACTCTTGGGAGTCAACTGACCCCCATGCCTAAGCTTGCTACATTGTCATGTTGGCTATAGCTTACAAAACACAAATTTAAGGATAAAACTATTGAGAACTTCAAGAGAGCCATTACAAAACGTTAAACCCCAAGAGTAGGGTTGAGTGTGTAGGGGTGCTCGGGGGATGGTGGTAAGTTGTGCGACTCCATAGATCTCAGGCCCGTGAAGCCCACCCCACTGGGGAGCTTAAATTGTACTCAGGATCTTTAAAATGGCTTTGCGCAATTCCTTGGCTGGAAGAACCAAGACTTACAAAAACGGGTCCACAGACACACCTAGAACGCGATCTGAGCCTCAGTTTTCCGATCCAGTGTCCAAAGGCCAAGTGGTCAACACACACACGCTCTTCTTGTAGTTAGGAATACCCATTGCGATCTTTGTGAAAAAAGTTTCATTGTAGTGGGGGGACACAGAAAACTGAATCTTCTTTGAGTTGGCATGTCGTCTCCACATCTCCCTCAATTCCGCGAGCAAAGATTTTCGGAAGTACATGCATTTCCTTCTCTTCCGTTCGCTGCATCTTCAGTTTCTCCTTAGTCTCTCCAACCTGGCCGAGGACAGGGCCTCACGACCACACCTGCCTTACCAGGGATACGGAGGAGCCAAGGTGTTCCAAATACAGACAGTGTGTGCACTATAGAAGGCGCGGAAAACAAACAAACAAACAAACAAACAAGCAAACAAACCCTGAGTTCTAATTCCAACCGTAGAAGTCAGTGTATGAGAGCCTAACGGGTTGAATGTCAAGTTCCTGAGAACGGATTTCAATAGGTTTTCTTAAGTTGCAAAGGAGCAAACAACAAGTCGTAGGTGACTATGTTGAGAAGGAAACGTGAGACAACTCGAGGATGAAAGGCAGAATAGAGAAAATAAATAGATAAGGAAGAAAAAAATATATTGACACAACTGGACAGCGGTGTTAGGAGATGTATAAGTTACTTGGATATAAGGCACGACAACATAGACGGGCAGCAGAGTGGCGCAGCGGAAGCGTGCTGGGCCCATAACCCAGAGGTCGATGGATCGAAACCATCCTCTGCTAATTCCCTGTTTTTTTCCTCCAAAATGTTGGATCTGGCACTCGTCAGAGGTGCTTTAACACCTGTCATGAGTAATTGAAGACCTACTGTGACTGAGGGAGTAAGCTCTGTTTTAACTGCCTGGTCCTTTCTGAAACCTAGTGGTCCACTTTGAAAGATCGGAAGCACAGGCGGAGAAATGAGTGAATCTGCAAACGGGAGGTCTGAAAAATAAGGCGGTAGAGGAGCAGAGATTGGTGTGGAGAAGAAGGGAAAGACTGAGGAAGAGGTGAAGAAAAAGAGCAAAAGATGAAGACTAGGTTGGGCAACCGGGAAAAAGATATTACAAAACTCTTGGAGAAGTGGGTTTTGAAGGAGGTAATTCCCCAGACAGAAGCGGGTGTCACATGTATGTTGCTCTGACATTACGATTCCAGGAAACCTCATCTCTGAAGAGCTAGGATAAAAACGGAGGAAACAACGGGAATTGAACTACTTCCCTTGTGCCATAACTTAATCTTTCTTTACCCAAATGTTTTATTCGTCTGAAATTTCTTCCCACTTATTGAAGTCATTGTTGAAATGTGTACTTTCTGCCTCCAACCTTCTGGTAAGCTGATGAAGAAGCCCGAGAGTCCGCTCTAAAGCGCCTTTACCAGCCAGCTACGATCTCTAAAGGCTCCTGTGTGCAGTAATGAGCTGCACACGGTAGTGGGAATATTCACTACCGAAGGGGTCCCACTCTATTCTGAGCCCGATTTTCTTCATTTCCCCTGTAATAAATACTACACAATAATTTCATATTTAACGCATGAACAGTTTGAGGGTTAAATGAATGCTCATAAATATAATAAAGCTCGGCTGCAGTGCTGAGGCACCGGTATATGACCAGAACGCTTGGAAGACCCGAGTAATTACCGAAATCATGAGCCTTATTAGCACTTCCTAGTGCAACGGAGACAGCAATGGAGATCCTGGATAGCTCAGTCGGTAGAGCATCAGGCTTTTAATCTGAGGGTCCAGGGTTCAAGTCCCTGTTCAGGCGAAACTTACCAGTTTTACTTTAGTTAGGTCTAAATCCCAGCCCATTTGGAAACGTCTTGTGAGGAGAAGGAAATTATCACAAAGGCTGAAACAGACAAAGGCATCACTTTCTTCATTAAATTATCCTTTCCCAATATTATTTGAAACATATCCCCAATATTTCAAGAGAAGTGGAAAAGGACATGATATAAAAATAATAAACTGGTGATGGAATGACTGGGAAATGAACCATTTTAAAACTCCCTTGAAATGGTTCATTAATCCAGGCATGGGGGGGAGCAGTTTGGAAGGTCTTGATTAAAATGCAAAATCTTTAAGAGCAGTGACCTTTGCATAGTCTGTCTCTGTGGTTTCTTGGAGTTTAGACCAGCTCTTCTTTCACAAAAAATTTGACCACTTTGCAACAGTTCCCAGTTGAAAAACTCATTTCCAAACACTTTCTGAAATAGTATTTTCTGGGTTT